AAGCTATTTGTTCTTTAATCAAAAATTAGCATGTCATTTAAACAAAATTACTATGGATACTTTTTATTTTTCTCTCTGGTAAAAAAAATAAATAAAACTAAAATGAACTAGTTCCAGTTACTCTGTACCTCTCAGTCCTCCCTGCTGTGTGTCAGTGAAGTCCACTGTGGAAAAATGTGTGCACACAGAGGAAATAGTTCAACAGGTACCTAGGTCCTGCTCATTTGACATTTCCCAAAGGGACTAATCAGACTGACCCAATCCTTGGTATTTGGACATAAAGTAATCATAGCAGCCCATCCAATTGAGTGGACAATTTTCTACTATGACAGAATACATGCAATAAGAAGAGGTTCATTGTGGCAACTAGAATGTGTGGAAATAAATAGCTTGATATTTTATAATATAATTGTATATTTTGTTTGTGTCTGAGTAAAATGCACTGTGCTTCCTCACAGCTGTGAGTTTCAGTTTGCTGGAGGGTATGGAGGAGAGACACTCAGAGAGGACCTGGTTCAGAGGTGTCCTTTGAAGGCAACAAACACACTGTTATTACCACCTGTCAAACCATCAGAACATTGAGACTTCTGAAATCACTGCTTTTTAATGAATAACCTCAAAGTGCATAAGGCAAAATAAATTGATATAATAACATCTATATTGAAAATGTTTTGACAAAAACCCTATCAGATATAAATGATTTAATTATGGACATATACTTTTTATAGAAGATGAGTTGAAGAATTCTTTAATTGAAACTGCTATTGTTGATGCAAGTTATTACTATTTTTGGATAATGTAAATTTTTTTTATGAAATTGGAATATTTGTAGCTGCCATATCTTTCTGGTATGCACACAAGCAAAAAAAAATTTGCAGCCTGGCTTATACCCTCTCAGACTAGTATGACTTTCCCCAAGCTCTGTTAAATAAGAAAAATATGTTCATTAATGTAACCAATTGAGTAATAGCCCTGATTTAAGATGCTATCACTGAATCACAAATGATTAGTAGGTATCTTAGAAATTTGAAGTGGAAAGTATGAATTCTCTTATTTTTCAATGTCATCATTAATCCATTAATATTGTGATCATTTAATTGGACCTTTAAAATCATAGATTAACAGTAATGGCATTAGTAAATTCAAAAGTTGTTTTAATAAAGTACTGATTTAATCATACTTTAATTGGAGCAAAATTATAATCAAAAAACCATTCTGACAAAAATGTTTTTAAGAATTAGGTTTTCTTGGAAAATCCATTTGAAAGTACAACTTAACTTTTCAGAGATATTTTACAAACTCTAGTCATTTTAATTTAAGACAGATAAGCCAATTGCATATTCTGGGTGAGAATGGCTACTTGATGGACTCATCTCTAAGAAATCTTCTCTGTACTAGGGAAAAAATATATATGAGTTTGTGGCTTGTACAGGGGTGTTAAGAGAGACAGAAACACATCACTCTGGGATTCAAAGTAGAGAAAGTCACATATAACTGAGCAACAGAGAAATACAATTCATCAGACAGATAACATCTAATATTAGTTTTAATGTATTTAGTAAACTTTGTAGTTGCAGATGAATGTAATTACAAAGGATATACTTTATGCCAGAAATATTTTTAACAGACTTGCCAATTTTTTAAACATTTTATTTATTTATTTTTAGAGAGGGAAAAGAGAGAGAGAGGAACACCATCATGCCGAGGAAACATTGATTGGTTGCCTCTCAAATGCCCCCAACAGGGAACCTGGCATACAAGCCAGGCGTATACCCTGACCAGGAATCAAACCAGTGAACTTTTGGTCAGTGGGAAAATGCCCAATCCATTGAGACACACTAGTCAGGGCAGACTTACCATTTTCTTGATGATATTCATATGATCTTCTAAAAACAGAATTCTTTCCTGAAATGAGACTTCCACGGACACCCTTTTAAAAAACTGGTTGAAGTCATATGGTATTTGTCTTTCATTACCTGGCTTATTTCAATTAGCATAATGCTCTCCAGATCCAAATATGTTGTAGCAAAAGATAGAAGCTCCTTCTTTACTTCTGCTGCATAGTGTTCCATTGTGTAAATGTACCATACTTATTTGGTCCACTCATTTACTGATGGACACTTAGGTAGTGTCCAATACTTGGCTATTGTAAATTGTGCTACTATGAACATTGGGTTGCATAGGTTCTTCTGAATTGTTATTTCAGAATTCTTAGGTTATAATCCCAGCAGTGCAATTGCCAGGTCAAAAGGCAATTCCATTTTTGGTTTCCTTAGGAAATTCCATACTGTTTTCCACAGTGGCTGCACCAGTCTGCCTTCAAACCAACAGTGTACTAAGGTTCCCTTTTCTCCACATCCTCACTAGTACTTGTTTGTTTGTTGATTTGTTTCTGATGGCCATTCTGACCAGTGTGAAGTGGTATCTCATTGTGGTTTTAATTTACATCTCTCTGATGGCCAGTGATGCTGATCATCCTTTCATGTCTCTAGGTCCTCTGTATGTTCTCATTGGAGAAGTGTCTGTTGATATTCTTTGCCCATTTTTTTAACTGGGTTGTTTGTTGACCTGGAGTTAAGTCATGTGAGTTCTTTATATATTTTGGAGATCAATCCTTGGTCTGAGGTATAATTTGCAAATATATTTTCCTATTCAGCTGTTTCCCTTTTTATTTTGCTGATTTCCTTTTTCAGCCATGCAGAAACGTTTTATTTTGATGCGGTTCCATTTGTTCATTCTTTTCTTTATGTCTTGGTAAAAATATTGCTGTGTGAAATATCTGAGATTTTCTCCCTATGTTATTCTCTAGGACTTTTGGGTGTCACAACTTATATTTAAGTTTTTATACATTTTGTGTTTATTTTTGTGTATAGTGTAAGTTGGTGGTCCAGTTTCATTTTTTTGCATGTAACTGTCCAGATATGCCATCACCTTTTGTTGAAGAAGCTATTTTTACTCCATTTTATGCTTCTGCCACCTTTGTTGAATATTAATTGACCACAGAGACTTGGGTTTATTTCTGGGCTCTCTATCCTATTCCATTGATATATATGTCTGTTTTTATGCCAGTACCAGACTGTTTTGATTACAGTAGCCTTGTAGTATAGTTTAATATCACACATAGTGCCTAGAGATATATGAAAGGGTGATCAGCATCACTGGCCATCAGAGAGATATAAACTAAAACCACAATGAGATACCATTTCACACTGGTCAGAATGGCCATCAGAAACAAATCAACAAACAAACAAGTACAAGTGAGGATGTGGAGAAAAGGGAACCATAGTACACCATTGTTTTGAAGGCAGACTGGTGCAGCCACTGTGGAAAACAGTATGGAATTTCCTAAAGGAACCAAAAATAGAATTGCCTTTTGACCTGGCAATTGCACTGCTGGGATTATACCCTAAGAATTCTGAAATAACAATTCAGAAGAACCTCTGCAACCCAACGTTCATAGTAGCACCATTTACAATAGCCAAGCGTTGGACACTACCTAAGTGTCCATCAGTAAATGAGTGGACCAAATAAGTATGGTACATTTACACAGTGGAACACTATGCAGCAGAAGGAAAGAAGGAGCTTCTATCTTTTGCTACAACATATTTGGATCTGGAGAGCATTATGCTAATTGAAATAAGCTAGGTTGTGAAAGACAAATACCATATGATATCACTTATTAGTAGAACCTAATCAACAAAACAAATAAGCAAAATATAACCAGAGACAATGAAATAAACAACAAACTAACAGTAACCAGAAGGGAGGGGAGAGGGGATAATGGGGGAAAGAAGGGGAAGGATCATCAAGGAATATGCATGAAAGACCCATGGACAAAGCCAAAGAAGGATAGGACTGAGGATGGGAGGTGGGGATAGGGGGGTGGGGGCATGTTGTGGGGGAGAAAATGGAGACAACTGAAGTTAAACACACACACACAAATTAAAAATTAAAAATTAAATCAATCCAATTAAAAAATAAAAATAAAAATTGGTTGAAGTGCATTAGCTACAGTTGAAAATCACTGGAAGTTCAGGATTTGGATCCTCCTCCTTCATACTTTCACTGCTCACCATCACTGTCTTTGTGAACACCTCAGTGTAGGTGTGCTGTACACTGAAATAGCACATTTTGCACTATGGCATGCATTTATCACTGAAAGATATAACAACTGTATTGATAAGAGAAATTATAGAAAGCAAAGATGAAATATATCATCTTGGCTCAGGAATATGTGTTTGATGAAACCTGCATATCAGTACTTTTCAAGGGGAAGAAAGCAGTCATTATGTCAGAGGGTGCCCATGAAGATCTCTAGAAAGGCATGCCATGTTTACATCAACAAAAGGGGATTTTAAAAATCAGAAGTGTTGATATAACTGTAGTTATATAGTTAAGTTATGAGGTTAAGTGTTGATAGAAGTGTAGAATATAACTGTAGGGGAGGAGTGGGAAATGACGGAAGTAGTAGTTCAGGGCCATAGTCTGAAGGTCTTGAATGCCAGACTGACACAAGTGGTGGTACAGGTTTTACCCTGCACAACCCGAGGGATGTCACTCCTGGACAGCTGTGCACGATGGACTTTGTACTTAATTTGGATAACAATAGAGTCATTGAATTGTTTTTAAATATGGCATTGTATGATTATAGTTGAACTTTAAGGCAATTAATCTTGTAGTGGTTTGCAAAATTATCCAAATTCCAGAAATACAAAGCTAGAATATAATAAACTTGGTGGTCTGTTAGTGGTATGGGCTGATTTTGTAATTTTGTTATTATAAGGGAGAGGACTAAGCAAACATGACTGCCAAACATTTTCTTAGGTGACCATAAGAATCGTACCTGATTGTTATACATGTTTGTGGTGATTGGGACAGGGTAAGGCAATCCATTCTCCTTGAGCATTTCAAATTACTACAAAGGATTTGTCATACTAAATGAACAATTTGCTATCATTTCTCTTACAAGACTTTTTCTTTTTTCTTTTCTCCTCTTTCAGGCTAAAGTCATTGACGTGAGTTATGGAAATATAGATGATTTACAAAGGATTAAAAAGATGAGAAATGTAACAAACCAGATTGCACTCCTGAAATTAGGAAAATTGCCACTACTTTATAAGGTTGGTCCCATGGCTCTTTTTTGGTGGTGGGATCAATATTTTGTTTGGCTTTGTTGAAGTTCGTGCCTCTGTGTATTGTGTGTGTGCACGTGTGTGTTTGTGTATGGGGCCACATAGAGGAACGAGTATCCCAGGAAAATGGTTTTCCCAAAACAGAATGTTTTCAGTTAACATCTTTAAGAAAAAAAGAAATTGATGTCCTTGTTATTTAAGATAGGAGATGCCTTAAGCCAAGTATCAGTGAGTTTGTGGGACTTTGATAAAATTGGCATACTCTTTATAATAACATCTATCTGGAATGCTAAAAATGAGAATGACAGTGTCCTTGTCTTATGATATATGTGAAACTTTTAATCTATTATCAAAACTGACTAATTACTATGTGCTTTATGTTAGACTACCATCTAGGTGATTTACACTCTTTGGTGATTAATTTTGTCAACTAACTTCATAGTTACTGACTGTGCTCAGGAATTTAATTAAACTAGAATATGCTAAGGAGAAGCAGAATTTTGATTTATTTTATTTAAATAGAAGTTTATTAACACTCATCCACTAGAAGCATTTACATAATTAAAGCAGTTTGATGTAAGTATCACATAATGAGCCACCACAATAGACAGCCACTGCTGCTCATACTTAGTTCATTTTCTGTTTCGTTAAATAGAATGGTCAGTGTGGTTATGTCACCGGGACTCTCTGGTTCTGAAGATTTATTCGATTTATCTTCATCCAACCCTCAATGAGCTTTGTTAACTGCCATGTCTGCAAAAGGTTTCAGAAATTGGTTGGCACACTTTGTAAGGAGACAAGAGAACACCCTGTCCCTGTTTTTCATTATCTGTCAAGGATGCCCTTCCACTCAAATCTTTGTCTGACAGTATATAACTGTCTGGAATTTTAAGATGGTCATGAAAATATAATATACAGTGCTATAAGTTTTTGCAGGATAATTTATCAACATATATTAAATGCCTTAAAATAATCACATGGTGATCTAGTAATTTCAGTTTAACCAATATATTCTAAAGGGGAGTAAAACAGAGTTGATAAGCACAATGATAACCAATGATTGTGACAAAATATTAGCAATGATATATATGTCCAGTTAATATTGAAAATTGTTACATTTGTACAGCTGAATATTATAAACCAAATACAATGTAAAGAATAGTAATGATGTGGAAATCCTCATAAGTCAAACAAGTTATAACAAGGACATTTATAATCATTATAATAATGATTATGTTATTGTTATTTGTAAGTGTAACATTGTTAGTTATATGGTCTGGATATTTTTCTAAGCAATTTTTCTGTGTTATCACATTAATCTTCACAATAGCAGTAACTGTATTTTTGAGGTAGAGACTACTATTATCTTCTATTTATAAATGAGTTAACTAAAGCAGAAAAAGGATAAGTGACTAGATCAAAGAGGAACAGCAACTTACATGGAAACGATCAGGATTTACGCCCAGTCAATCTCATCTCATCCTGTGTGTGTGTGTGTGTGTGTGTGTGTGTGTGTGTGTGTGTGTGTGCATGATGTAGTTGGGGTAGATAGATAAAGAGTGATACCAAAGATGTTAAACTGGAGTTTTTCACTGAGATTTTAATATATAAAACAACAGATATTTCAAAATGAGCTACCCAACATCAATATTTCAAAGGCAACAGTTGAAAATGTATTAGAGTATTATTAAACCCCTTACTCATATATGGAGTAAAAAAAGTTTGAAGAATTGAGGGAGAAGATTTTATGACTAGGAATTTTAGAGATATTTAAGTTTCACCACAAGCTGGTGACTGGGCTTCAGTGGAACCACACGGAGGGATTAATGTGCGTCTTCTGCAGTATGGGGGATAGAGTAGCTGGTGTCTAACTCATCTAAAAATCCTACAGGTAAGAGATCAGTTTGCTTAGCATCTAACAAAGAAGCAGAAAGGAGTGTTTGTGTTGGGATTATTGGCCCATGTCCTCAGAGCTGAAAGGAGGAACATATGAGTTTGTTTCCCACGGCAGCAGTGTTAGTTAGTATAAGCTAGATACTTAGTAGTTAGTATAAGCTAGATACTTAGTTCTAAGTACTTTCATGTATTATCATATTGATCCTCTCACCAACTATATTACCGAGGTAGGGACTCTCCTTATTTTCAATGTGTGGATGAGTATCATTAGTGAGGGGGAAAGATATAAAACGGAGTTTCCTCCTTACCCAGCAACAGAGCTGATGTGGTGGAGCCAGGGACAAGAAGATGAAATTTAAATCAAAGATAGAGTTTTAATCATGATGTGGAACTATGCATTCTAATTATTTACTTAAGATAATGGACTCAAACTGGACTTTTTATTACCAATAATCAGAAGAAATCTTCCTCTAGGCTCATATGGGGAAGAATTTTCTTCTCTAGATGTGTTTTAAGAAGTGAGAAAAAAGTGACATTGCTTTGGGTACTTTACATGAAACCTGTTTGTTCAGCCTATGACTGATAATGACTAAAATGTTGTTTTCAGGCAGAGGCCGATATATAAATTTGTTAGATAGAAACATAAATAATTTCTACTGCTTTATATTTTCTTGATTTCTAAGTGGTCTATATGGTTGTGTATACATTATTCTGAAGGAAGAAAAGCCTTTGAATATTCATGTAAGCATAAGGCATTTCAAATTTAAAAATTATTCTACTAATTATTATAGACCAAATAGTCAAAATCCTTACTAGGAGATAATGGAATAAGAAAAATCAACTTGTGTTTTCTTCTTCTTCTTCTTCTTTTTGTATTTGACTTCTAAAGAGAATATTTTATGAAAACTTTTCACCATATCTGCAAAGTAGTGAATTTTATAGTGGTCTTGCAGTTTATGTAGAACAGGACACAATTATTAAGAACCTGGAATACTTTCCCCAATCAGCTTCTGTCTATGAACAGATTCAACAGAGTTCTATTCAGAGTCCCGCTCCAGACAGAGAGACTTGCCACTGACGTGGCGCTGTCTTCTGGGCAGAAGAGATGAAGCAGCCTTTCTTTAAACTTCCAGTCTAGCCATTTTGATCTTCTGTGGATTTTCCCAGAGATTTGGGAGAATCCCTGATCCTGTAGCTATTAACACACCTTCCCAGAGCAAAGAGAAATGGAGCATGGACTGGACATGCTTATACAGCATGATTATAGCCACACTCACTTCACCTGTCCATCATTTGACATTGTAGGGCTGAAATTTGAAAGCAAAGAAGTGTGGTAATAGAGTGAGGTTGAAAAAGGCAGAGGACCAATAGACTTCTATGTGAATCACAACTATTAATCATGATTCCAAATGAACACTTGTACTGGGAATATGCAACTGAATGAGTAAAGAGAGGGGAGGGAATTTAAGGGGAAAAATGGGAGGGATTTAGAGGAACAAGTATAAAGGACACAGGGACAATAACTAAGGGGGGTGGAAATGGAAGGGAGGTGGGGAGCATGGGGCAGGGTGGGCTGGGATGGGAGAAATAGACAGAAAACTGTACTTGAGAAATAACTAAATAAAATTTAAAAGAAGAAAAAAGTTAATGCTATTTTAGCTGTGCAGTAGTTCCTAAATCATGGTTCAGAAACGAATTTGGGAGGGAATTTGAGGTAGGAAGGGCAAAGGGGAGACATAAAATGACACTAAATTGTCTCTTAAATGAGAAGAAAAATAGTCTGCAGCCAAGAAGGAGGAAGTCTCATTAGTTTCATTGTAAATACTATGTATGTATTAATTTAGTCTCCAAGAAGGGGATTAATGAGAAAATCCCAACGTTGTATAGCAGAAACTATGAAAGGCAAATAGCTTTTAGATAAATGGTGCGGGGAAGAGCCAACCAGGTTCTCCAGAGCTAGCTTGGACTAGTTCCCTTAAGCTTAAAATTTAGAGGAAAGGCTTCATTTTAACGTTGCTTTTCTAGCAGCTTATTTTATGCGAGTGCTTTAACTCTTCAAGATTTAAGACAAAATATTCTCTTATCTGTCATAATGGATGCACTTAGATTTCTCTCAGTGGCAATCTGAGACACAGTAAAACAGATTCTAAGATCCTCACAAATTCCCAAATTGCTGAATAGCACTGTAGTATAGAATTTATTTATAAAATGCAATAAAAGCTTTTGGCTTTCTTTTTAGAGCCATTTTCACAAACACACAAAAGCAATAGTAGAATTTACTGTGTACTCTATGACAACTAGACATCAGGTAAATCCCAGTGAAATGTAAAAGTCGGTCCATTGTCTGGGTCTGCTCCATATATCAGCCCCATATCTTGTAGGAGTCAAATTTTTAGGCAGTAAAGTTACAATGAATGCATGTCTTACAATTTTTTGGCATGGTGAATTACACACAAAAATTGACAAATGCTATTGCTAGTTTTTAAAAAAATAAATGAAGTAACATACAACACGTTCTTCTACTCACTGTTATATAGTAAGATATCAATAAATATTAGCATATTTTTGTATTTTTTATACATATTGTCCTTATAATTACAATTTTAATGATCCAAATGATGCTGTAGTTTCCTACTAATAAAACAGCCTTGTATATATTCATTAGATAAGATTTACATTGAATATCCATTTTGTAACTTTTCATCCAGTGTATAACTTAAGCAACCTCAACTTAAGTCAATAGAATTGCTTATACAGGTAGGTCTTCCAGAATAACCTGGGGAGGGGGATGAAAGGTAGGAAACAACTGTTAGGTATTTATATTTTTGAATAGATTGTTTCTCACAAATTAAAAATAAATGGTATTAAAGAAAAATAAATGCCATACTCTTTGAACATACCTACATAGTATACCTAATAATAATATAACTTAATCACTTTTACTGACCATTTGAATATTAAGAAATCATAACAAGTGGCATCATGTATAAAAAGGGTTGATTTTTGCATGTATATAGCATAAATCATCCTCATATAGTCACACAAATTTGGCACCACAAAAAATGGTGTCAAGCATTTTGTTTCTCTTGGCT